TATGATGAGAGAAATTAAAAATAAAATAAAAATAACTCAAGAAAATAATTTTAGTATCTGTAAAAATATCTTATAATAACCTATAACGATAAAGAATATGAAATACATATATATATGCATAACTGAATCACTATGCTATACACCAAAATTAACACAACATTGTAAATCAACTATACTTCAATTAAAAAAACAAAAAGAGGAAATCTATGCACTGTTAAAACCTTTAACGGGCCTCACGGGCTGCACTGGTAAGAAGTCCCCAGGACAACCCTTACCTGGGACCAGGGACCCCACCCAAAGCAAACCCATTTTGTAATGAAATTTTTTTTTTTTTTTGGTTACAGGCTAGCCTCTAAAGTAGCCTGTTGGCCTTTAAAATAAAACTACCTGTTGCAAGTTGATTATAACACAGCATTTTCAATTTAGGCAGCCATGCTACATTTGAAATGTAAGAGAGAACTGCTTTGTAGCAGTTTATTTTTAAAGAATGGGGTGGGGCGGGGACTTATACCCAGTCAGTGAGCTAACTGATCAGGCCAACCCCAGCAGGGCCGAGAGGTGCAGACTGGGCGGTGTCTCCAGGCAGCTGAGCGCGGCTGGACACACACTGCTGAGTCCTGCTGACGGAAGCTCTGGTGAGGGAAGCTCCCTCACAGCTCTGACTAGACAAGGAAGGGACTCTTTTCTTCTGGGACCCACAGGCTGCCAGAACAAGTACAGCTCCTTCCCCACCCTCCATGAACTGGACTCTCCCTGCAGGGGTGCCCTCCTACAGCCTCTCCCTGAGGGGTGAGAGCCCAGAGCGCCCTCCTCCCCACTTCAGTTAAGGGCCTACCCTTCTTCCCGGCTGGGTCGTGGGAGAATTGAAGGCAGCATTAAAGCTAATTGGTGCTGTGTCAGAATGGCCATCATCAAAAAGTCTACAAACAATAAATGCTGCAGAGGGTGTGGAGAAAAGGGAACCCTCCTACACTGTTGCGAGGAATGTAAAATTGTTGCAGTCACTCTAGAAAACAGTATGGAGGTGACTTAAAAAACTAAAAATAGAACTACCATATGATCCAGCAATCCCACCCCTGGGTATATATCCGGAAAAAAATGAAGACACTAATCCAAAAAGATACATGCATTCCAGTGTTCACAGCAACATTATTTACAATAGCCACGACATGGAAACAACCCAAGTGCCTATCAACAGATGACTGGATTAAGAAGATGGTTTATATAATGGAATATTACCCAGCCTTAAAAAAAAAAGAATGAAATATTGCCACTTGCAGCAACACGAATGGGCCTAGAGATTATCATGCTCAGTGAAGTAAATCAGACGAAGACAAATATTATATAATATCACTTATATGTGGAATCTAAAAATAATACAAATAATTCTATATACAATACACAAACAGACTCACAGACGTAAGAAACAAATGTGTGGTTGCCAAAGGGGAAAGGGATGGAGGGAAGGGATTAATTAGGAGTATGGGGTTAACAGGTGCACACTACTATACATACACTAGACAAGCAACAAGGATTTACTGCTGTATAGCACAGGGAACTATATTCAATATTTTGTAATAACCTATAAATGAGAAATAATCTAATATATTCAGGTGTACTTTGCTGTACACCTGAAATTAACACAATATTGTATATCAACTATACTTCAATAAAAAAGAAAACTGACTGATGCTGGGCCATACTTATAGGTCATGTTCCTATAAGGAGCATTCATCTAGCCCTACTTCTGGAGGTCAAGAGTTAATTCATATAAGACTAACACAGAGGCCAAGGCATGAATGTGTGTTTTCTCTCCAATAGCTCACTGTTAGGAGCAGAAGGACTGCATCCCCCTCAAATTCACATTCTGATAACACAGCCCGCTAATGTGGGGTGTTTGGAGGTGGGACCTGTGGGAGGTGATTAGGATGAGATAAGATGATGAGGGTGGGGCCCTCATGAATGGGATTGGTGCCCTTACAAGAGTCATGACAGAGCTTGCTTCCCCTCTGTGCTCTCCACCATGTGAGGACACAAGAAGCCTGCAGTCTGCAACCCAGAAGAAAGATCTCACTAGAACCCAGCTATGTTGCACCGATCTCAGACTTCCAGCCTCCAGAACTCTGAGAAAATAATGTCTGTTTTTTATAAGCCACCTGGTCTCTGGTGTTTGCTAGAGCAGTCCAAACTGACTAAGACATTCATCCTCCTTTACACTTTATTTCCAAAGTCTGAGTGTAAGAGCCAGCTCTGTCCCCAACTACCCATGAGGATGCCAGGTGATGACATCTATTTTCTTACTAACAGCAAAGATCCTTGTGTTTAGCTGTGAGCAAAACTAACCTGAATTGCATTTCCCCTCTAGCTATTTGTCAGGTAAGAATTCCCTTCAGAAAGAATTTTCCTTGCCTTTCCTTTAGCCGATGCTGACGTGCAGTACAGCAACTTCTCTGCGAGTGATGAAGAAAGGCCTCTTCTCCCAGCAGCCCATCCCTGCACCCTCCTTAAAAGGCCAAGAGCAGCTCCTTCCCTGAAGGCAGCCCCCAGAGGCAGCTTAATCTGGAGCAGGCTTCTCCTCCAAGACACCCACTCATGTTTCCCATCTCTCAGCAGCTTTGGGCCGTGTCATTTCTCAAGAACATCTTCTTTCCTAAAGCAGGAAAAGCCCAGGGCAGTCCCCAGACTGCGTATCACTAGAAAAAGTTGGAAACCATTTTGGCCAACAATTTTAATCAATTCCCGTCCCTCTGCCATGCCCTGGGGTCAGCAAAAATGCTGCGGAAAGAGATCCTGGGCTCCCCGGACTGCTCCAGTGGGACAGGCCAGGGTCTCAGGGAGCAAAACAACAGGCAGGGAAGAGATGAATAACCAATGAGTCCTCCAGGATAAATGTTCACAAAACTGGAGAGAAGGGGAGAAAAGAGGCAGGCAGGCTGGCAGGGGGTGTCACCGATGTCCAGAACCCCAGGTCAGACCAACGCACAGCACAGCCACTGCAAAAGAAGGAGGTCGGGGTGAGCACACTGCTCCTCCGGGAGCTGGTGTGATAGCACCAGCGACGTCCACCTGCCTCACACAGGCGTGAGCTTGTCCTCCCTCCACCCTCTGGTAAGTGCCTTGCTCCGTAAGAGAAAGCAAGGACATCCTTAACTAACTCACTACTCCCAGATCCAGAACCTCAGGGAAATGTGACCTAGGAAAAGCTTAGCCCTACAGGGACTTCCAAATAGGAGTGTGTGTGCGTGTGAGTGTGTAACACACACACACCTGATTTCAGACTTCAGACTTCACACTATTGAGCGGAATTTGTAGGAATCCACAGATATGGTTCTAGGAAGACCTTCCCTAGGTTGCTAGGAGGAGGCCCACAACATTCTCATCTAGACAAGAAAAGAAAGCAGCTGTCCCCAGGCAAGCAGGAGAGCCAGGGATAACCTGGTGCTCTAGCTCCTCCACCTGAGAAGTAGGTCGAGGGCGCTGCCTGCCTCCTGGCCTGGACCTCGGGCCATGCCCACACCTGCATCCCCACGGGCCAGTGGAGGCCCTGCTGCACAGGCTGCAGTCCTCCACAGGGGACGGGCATGGTGCTGTCTGCACAAGATGCAATGCGCCTTGGACACAGCCAAACACCCTTCTGTTTTGTAACCTCACTCCACCTTGTTGCAATTTAATTCTTTGTTTCTGATGTCCTTCTACATGCCAACAAAGATGTCTGGTCCCAGAAGTTAGGCACTTTAAATTGTCCCCACCACCACAATTCCATCCAAATTAATAAGTGCTTTCATTCTTGAAACGATTTGAAATGTGGGGGGAGGAGTAGCTCAGGTGTAGAGCACGTGCTCAGCATGGACGAGGTCCTGGGCTCAATCCCCAGTGCCTCCATTAAAAAAAAAAAAAGATTGAGAGAATGATCTGAAATGCAACTGTAGCTTTACCTTTAAAACAATAACAACAATAACAATAAATAAAAATATTTGAAAGATGGACGGCAGTCACACTCCCCCCTGCAGTGCCTGCCACTGAACGTGTGTTGTACCCACATGGAAATAAGACAGGTCAGTGTGAGTGAACCACACCCAGCAGCAATGCTATCCAGGGAGCTCCAAGTACCAGCAGCAAGCAGTCCGTCAAAACTCAAGCCACTCACCTCCGCCAGAGAGAGCCGGACAATGCCACTCTGGTCCTTGTCCAGAAGCCTGAACAGTTCTAGAATGCCAGAGAAGGAATGGGATCAGATAGGGATGTTTCTGGACTTCGGAACAGCTAGAGAGCTGCCTCTGTCCACCCCATCCCCGCCTGGCACCTCCCCGTCCCCCGCACCCTTCCCAGCTCCCACCCAGCTTCAGAGCCTCTGAAAAGCTAGATTTAAATCCAGTGCCCAGGGTGAGGAGTTTGGGCAGCAGCTGTCCCCCTGCCCAAATAGACAACCCTCCAGCTGTGAGCTGAGATGCTTCTTTTGCCATGTGCACCCTCAGAAGCTCTAGAAACTTGCAACAGTTTCGACAGGGGTGGGGGATGGGGTTGCAGAACAGAGCTGGTTGCCCTCTTTGAGGGTAAACCAGTCACTTAGCTTTCCCCATTAGAATTTACCTCTCCCATCCTCACTGGAAGGAAAACTCCCTTGATAGGAACCCTTAGCATGAGCCACAGGGGGCAGAAGATCACCTGAAGCCTTCCAGAAAGAGACTGCCATCCCCTCCCTGGTAGGTGACACGTGCTCTCAATATGAAGCCCATGGAGGCATAAATGTGAACAGATGCCAAAAGCCACGTAAGTCCCCCATTACTCGGACTCATTCATTTGGCCCAGTGACCGCACGGACTAGGTGCACAACAATCTTTTCAAATCTCCCAGAGAAGGCAGCACCTTGGGCGTGGCCAGCTTGGACTTCCTCAGCCCCTTCAGTTTCTGCGTCCCCTCCCTCAAGGATGCCACAGTTGCAGAAGCCTGTCTGGTTCTGGCTCCTGGCCCCGCCCCCTGCCACTCCCCGCACCTCAGGAGAAATGGGATGGGGTGAAAGGAGAGAGTGACTCACTGAAGAGGGTCTCCAGGCGGATCATACAAGCAACGAAGCCGTCAAAGTCAACGCCGAGTTTGCTGCCTGCATACCGCGTGGCGATGGTCTGCTGCACCTGGTTGTTGAGGGTGAACCCTGCAGGCAGAGGGGGCCAGGGTCACAGGTGAGTCGGGGGTTCAGCCCTGTCTGCAGCAGAACTCAGGGCTTACTCGGGCCTGGCTCTGCCCCCTCCAAGGGATACCAGAAGGGTCTGGTCATCCAGTAAGTCTCCTTTCAGATAATCCTCAACAGGATTAGCCTCCTCCCTGATCCTAAATTAAGCCTGTAGCACCAGCTCACTCAGCCATGCATCACACTGGCCACAGCAAGAAAAAGCAAGGAAGGCGAGGGGACTGCCTCTCGGCCCGTCTCCTTCACAGCCCCATCCTTTGTGACTGCTGTCACCTTCCCAGTAACAAGCAAAGTCCTTGGGAAAAGTCTAAAGACTCCAGCAACATTCCCTCCTCCCTGGATAAGGGACGTTACCACAGATCTTTGTTGTCACATCAACATCCAACATAAGGTAACTACCACTTATGATCATTAGCCATCGTCATATTAAGAATGTTTAAAATGAGCATATCTGGATCTCAAGACCTTATTTACAGGATGTGTCCTCACCTGCCTTCTTGAGGGCTGCCCTCATCTCGTGGGCATCGATGGTCCCCAAGTGGTTATAATCCATTTCCCGATAGATCTCCTAGCACAGGAGAAAAATTCCAGGTAGAAAGAAGTTGTTTGTGGCCCCAGCAGAACCATCTCCCTCCACCCAACTGCTTCTGGAAGGCCAGGGACACCCTCAAGAAAAGATTTCACTGACTCCTCCCAGGGAGTTTTCAGGACAAAACTAAAAGTTTGGGCTGAGGGTCTTTTGTCCTCTGAAAGGTAGAACTTTCTGTGAAGGCACCGGCACAAGTGTCTCTCATTGCCTCTTAGTCCTTCCTGAACAACGTGTCCAGATTTTGTGTTGGTTTTGACCATGACTAAGGATCTGGTTAGACTAAGGCATGAAATAGACTAGGAAGGGGTGTCAGGGAGGGCGAGGGGCTAGAAACAGAATAGAGGCAAGTGACCAGAGCCCAGGGGATGCCCGGCACAAAGAGAAGAATTACCAGATACTTCTGAATCTTCAACCAGAGCGTCTTGAATTCCACCAGTCCCAAGGAGCCCGTCCCATTGCTCTAGGCAGGTTAAAGGCCAACATGATCAAGCCCGAATTCCACATGCTTTATGGATTTCTTTCTCTTGTGACCTTGCACAGTGAGAGTCTGCAGACCTCAGTGAATATCTGTGTCTGCAGTAAGCAGGGCCCTGGTGGTCACCGTAGGAAGGGTTGGTGGGAAACAAATGCAAATTAAGATTAAAGAGTCAAACACTCACGAAGGCCCTCCTGTGAGGTCAGGCACAGAGCTGGGGGCCAAGGCAAGTCGTGCGCCTGGGTCACTGGGAGGGTTGACCTACATGATCTGTTGTAAATTCACTTTCAGATTTAAATTTCTGCCATTGAGAGTTGAAATAATTAGTTGGTTAGAACATCAGAATCTTATCAGAAGAGTCCTCAGGAGCACAGGATTCGGATTCTCAGCCACACGGTCTACATGGGTCTGTCAATGTGCCTCAAAGGAGCTCCAAGCTTCTCAAGACTGATTTCTGGGACCTTAGGACATGGTTCCAGGAGCACAGCTGGCTCATAAGCCACTGCTCAACCAAAACAGGCCAGGGGTTCTGTGAAATTCTGTGTGTCCAACTTACATTTACTCTACGAATATTGATTGAGCACCGCGCTAGATAGACCTGGAGGGTGTTTTGAACTCTCCCTACCCCCTTGAAGTTCAGTCTCTTTGAAACGCTACCCTTTCTCAGCAGCCACAACCAACCAATAGACACCATTGTGTTACAACTCGGATGTTAAAATTCTGAAACAGATCATCATCTTCACTTATTTGAACTAGCCAAACAAAAAGTTGTTTACACCCAAGAATGTAAACCTCACCCTTTAAGAAAATCTGTGTCCTTGTATCCATGATCCACCCTTAGTGGTGGGTGCACCACAGCCTTCAAATCCTCACTAAGACTTCAACCAACATATCTGAGAAGAGTACTCTGGAAAGTGAGCTAATGCTCTGGTCCAGCCAGACCCATGTATTCCTGGATCTCGTTTCATCCTCACAAGACCATGGGGCGCCATACTGTTATCCCATTTTCCAGGAGAAGAAACTGAGGTTCACAGCATTTAGTAACTTCTCCAAATGTATACACCTAGCAAGTGGTGGAGCCAGAACTTGAACTCCTGTTTGTTCCAAAGCCTTCATCCCAGAACATCAGTATAGCCTCAATTCCAGAGGGAATTACCTGCAGACTCCCGGGACTCACCCCTGACTTATTGAATCAGCACCTCCAGGAGTGAGACTCACACAACTGGATTCTTCAAACCCCATGGCTTCTCAGTGCTGACACAAGCCGTGGTGGACCACGTGCCGTATGATTCCATTCATATGAAAATATCCAGAACAGGTACATAGACACAGAAAGCAGTTAGAGGGCAAAAGGGCTGTATTGCTGAGGGGAAACGGGGAGTGACTGCTAATGTGGGTGCAGGGTCTCTTTTGGGGGAGCGAAAAAATGCTCTAAAACAGGTGATGTTTGTACAACTCCAAATATACTAAAAACCACTGAACTGTACCCTTTAAATGGGTACATGAGACGGTCTGTGAATTATATCTCAATAAAGTTGTTATATTTACAAAAGCCTCCGTGGGCAGTTCTGCTGCACACCCTGGTTCAGAACCACTGGCCCAAAGCACCCAACTGTGGAACAGACACTCTTGAAGAAAGGCAGAGTCACGGTCTTCCTGGAGCCATGCAGATGCAAACAGCTCTAGGAACACTCAGTGCGTGACTACAGGGCAATCCTCAAATCTAAACTTAAGTCCAGAGGCAAGTCTGAGAAGAATGATTCAGAAATCGAGGAACTATTTGCAGCAAAGTGAATCAACATTTTACAGTTCAACAGCCACAGGCCCATGAATCACACTGTTAACCACACAGGCCGGATACAGAACACAGAGCTGAAGAGCCCCAGCACCTGAGGCTCTGGACCACAAGTCAGCACCCGCTCTCCGAGGCTGACACCCCTAGCAGAGCTCAGCACTGGTGACCCGGGACCCTCGGCATGACCACCGAGCAAGTAAAATTCATCCCCCCCACCCAGAGGTCATTAGATCTCACCACAGATGAAGCCCTAAGAACGGAGAAGCATCCTCCAAGGCTCCAGTTTTCAAAGAACTCATGTTCACCATCAGCACCATGGAGAACGATAACCTGGACCCACCGGAGGCCAAGTTTTAAGGAAGTGATGTTCGGCCATTCCCTACTCTGTGCTGCACTGAAGGTGTTCCTTCCACCTAGAATGCCCTAGCCTTGCCCATTCCTCCCCAGATCTCTTACTCATCCTCCAATATAGAGTGACGGTTAAACTGGGTCAGAGAGAACAAACAGATTTTATCTCATGTAACAATCCTAAATTATTGGGGATGGTCGTGTCAAGACTGGGAGACAGAGACCAGATGGGGATGCTGAGAGCAGGGGAGAGGGAAGAGGGGAACAGAGCCTCGTGGAAGGAACGCTGTGATTAACAGGAGGAGGCATACAAATGTCATGTATTTGCTATCTCTGAATTAAAGGATCTGAAACCAGTCACTTCAACACAGCCTACCTCACGTTCTTTGCCTGTAAAACGGAGATAATCTCAAGCTCTTTGAGGCGCAAAAGGAGATGACATTTTTCTTTAAAGCTCAAGCAGGACACTCGCCATGTGCTCAGTAGATGCTGGTTCCTTCTCCCTCTCTCCCTTCCCTCCTGTCCCATGGGGAAAGGGGGGAGGAGACGTTAAAATCAGGATAAAAGTAAAAATAACGAGGCATGGAAAGGATACATCCATCAGGCTGATCATCTCCCTGCAAGTGTTGATGTCGAAGCCATCGAATTTTATGTCTGTCCCTAAATATTTAAATAGAAAAGAGGGGAGGGAGTCAGGATCCAGTGAAAACGGGGGGGGGGGGGAAATCTCCAGGGCAGGATGCCACCGAAGATGCCAGCCAGACTATGGAGCCGAACTTCCTGCTCTCACCCCGCCCAGCACCCCTCCCCTTCAGCCCCTCCCACCTGCTGGGTGTGCTCTCAGCCCAGAGAAAATCAGGGCCCCTTGCCCCCCATATGTGGGGCCCCTGGCCCAGTGCCTGTCCCCACCCTCACCCTCTTAGGCTCACACAGACTTCCTGAACAGCCTCAAGGAAGAACTTACGTTTGGAAAACACCTCATTCAGTGCTGTCTTGAGTTCACTGGCACTGACCTCAGAATCCTAGAAAGACGAACCTAATGCAAGTCATGTGAGGCCCTGACAAGCATTTCAGGACATTAACTTAACGCAGAGTCAGACACCAGGTCCACTGACCTTGTGATTTTAAAAGGCTGTGACATCTTTAAAGTCTCCAATTCGCAGTTTCCCTGGGGCCCCCAGGCTGGGCAGCAAGTTTATGTAAATGACATGAGCAGGTTCCACCCGCAGCCAAGGGCTGCACAGGGGGCTGCTGCCTTTCCCGGGGCTTGCTTAACCTGAGAACATCCTCAAACCCTCAGAACAACTCTGCACCCAGGTCAGAGTTAGGGAAGCTATGATTCTGTGAACTGCTGAACATCACATACATACACCAAGTCATTTGTCATTTCCATGTGATATAACTGCTTGGGGTTCACGGCTACCAAGTGACAGAGTTAGGACTCAAAACCTAAGACTGTCTCACCCCAAAGCGCCCGCTTTTCCCACTGCACCTACGGGAGTTGCTGTTTCCTGCGTAAGTAGCCCATCTCAAGCCAGAAGTAGAGATTTAGGGGACTAGAGTTTCCCACATGCACTTGGGATAAACACTGAGCCGGACGGACGATACATCCCTGAACTCTCAGCTGGAGGACAGACCTCAGGCAGGATGAAGAATGAGGCGCAGAGAAGGGGCGCTGGGTTCCAATCATGACTCCGCCCCTTACTGCCATGTGACCTTAGCCAAGTCACTTCCCCATGTGAGGTGTGGTCTTATCACTTGTCCCCACAGAGTCCCACTTCTCCCCTCCACCAGGCAGGCCCAGGCTATTCTTTTTTTCTTTTTTTCTTAATGGAGGTACTGGGGATTGAGCCCAGGACCTTGTACACGCTAAGCATGCACTCTACCACTGAGCTCTACCCACCCTCTGGCCCAGGCTGTTCTACTGGAAACAAGCGAGGTAGGAGCTACACAGAACAGCCTTGCCTGTGAGCGCAGCTGGCCTCATTCACACACAAAATGTCACAATAATAAGACCTAGGGACCCTCTGAAAAGTCCCCAGGCCAAGAATCGCCCCTGTTAACCTGCCAGGGAAGAAATGGGATATTGAGACCGTGACCTGACCGTCAACAGGCCTTGTGCCCTAGACAGCTCCTTAACCTCTCTGTGCCCAACTCTTCACCAGCAGAGCAGGTAGGGTGACCGACACTGCCCCATAGGGCAGGAGAGATGAGATAAGGACCATGAAGAGCTATACAAACATGAGCTTTTATTTTATCAGTCCTGATGTTCTAAATAAAATGTAGCCCCTTGGCAGCTAAGACAACAAGGTTTTGTTAGTAAAAACACTGCTCTGAGCATCCATCTAAAACATAAATTGACTCATTTTTCCAAAGGCTTCTTTAATGGCTATGCAAGGGAATTGAGTTCCCAGTTTCATTTTCTGCAAAGGATGCTGATGTATCTTCTTCTACTCCATCCTTAACTCTGGAAAGTGGCTCTGAGCTTCCCTGGGGGTGGAGAGCACTGCTTTCCCCCTTCTGTTACAGACTGAATGTTTGTGTCCCCAAAAATTCACATATTGAAATCCAACCCCCAAGGTCACCACGTTAGGAGGAGGGGCCTTTGGGAGATAATTAGGTCATGAGGGTAGAGCCCTCATGCACCAGATGAGTGCCCTTATAAAAGGGACCCCAGACAGATCCCTCACCCTCTTTCCGCCACACAAGGACACAGTGAGACGTCAACAGTCTGCAACTTAGAAGGCCCTCCCCAGAATCCGACCATGCTGGCATCCTGATCTCAGACTTCCAGCCTCCAGGACTGTGAGAAATAAATTTCTGTTCTAAGCAATCCCGTCGGCAGTACATCGCTAGAGCAGCCCAAGATGACGGGCCCCTTCCACGGCCCTTCGGCAATCCTCGTCCCTCAAAGAGCAGTGCGCTCACCGAATTTATGGGACCAGCTGTGACACTTGGAGTCCCAAGTCTGCTCTGACTTATGGCCCCACAGGACTAGAATCACAATAAACCAAGTCAGCAGTCCGGGCAAGGAAGGAGCAGTACGCCTGCCTGCCAGCCTCTCCCCCGGATCCGCGCACCCTGAGCACTGTGGCATCCCTGGGGGCAGGCAGGGCAGCGGGACACTGAGCACTAATGCCAGGTCAGGTTAACCCAGCCGCCTTCCACCCGGGCTGCGCGGTTCCTCTCATCGCTGAAGGATACTGATTTAGGGAAGTTTTGCCTCCCAGCTTTTTATTCTGGGCTCTGATCCTACAGGGCTCTGACCAGACAGGACCGATTCACAAGCAGAAAGGTTTGGGGCAGGAAGTGGAGATTCCAATTTTCTATTTTCTTAAGGGGCAGTCATCCCAGCAACAAAAGTGGCCTCAGCCCCATTTCTCTCCCCAGCTGTGCAGGAAAGGCCTTAGTTTTAAGACTGATCTGGGGGCCTGAGACCTGAGGCCTCACCCTTCTTAGTCACAGGGACACAAGGGAAGGACTCGTGTGACCTGAGCCTTCCCGAACACCCTCCTGCTTGTCTGGGAGCCCATGTTTGGCCTCCACTCACCTTCCCCGCAAACTTCTCAAACAGCCTCCCGAACTGGCCGTCTTCCTGATCCACCTCGCAGGGATGGGGCTAAAAGGCAGGGCAATCGCAAAGTTAAGGTGGGACTTGCTGAAAGACAAATATTTAAAATTCACTCGCTCGTAATTCACTACACCCATCCCGTGTCTATTGTGTGCCGGGCACTGGGTGAGAGGGGGTGCGTGGTGGTAAACAGGAGAGGTCCAAGGGCCTGGCCCCGGGAGCTCCCCATCCAGCAGGGATTCAGTCCAGGAGTCCAGGGACTTTCTCTCTGAGTGATGTGGGGAAGTGATCCTACCAGCCCTGAATTTGTGATTTCAACCCTGAATCCTTTTTAGAGAACGGTAGCAACACTCACAGCCAAGCATCTCAGTCTGGGTCTGTGGGCTCCTAAAACATTCGCCGATGACCTTCAGGGGGTCTGTGAACCTCAGGCAATGCATGAAAATTGGGGGATAGTATTGATATTATATTTTCTTAGCTTTCACCAGATTCTGAAATAGCAACACAATTAAAAAGTAGTTTAAATCACAGCCTAGTGGAAACAGCAGAGCTAGGAACCAGAAGATAGGAGTTCAAACACCAGACTAACCACTTACTGAACTCCACCCCAGAACTCGGAACATCCACTTCCTCAACTCCAGTATTAAATAAACTAGGCTTGGGGGAGAGTATAGCTCAAGCTGTAGAGTGCATGCTTAGCATGCATGAAGTCCTGGGTTCAATTCCCAGTACCTCCTCTAAGAATAAATAGATAAATAAACTGAATTACTTCTCCCCACCAAAAAGAAATTTTAATTAATTAACTAGGCTTGTTACATGGGTCATTTAAGAATCAAATGAGGGCTAATGTGTGTCAACGTCCCTTGAAAATCGCAAATCATTATATGAATGACTCTGTCCAGAGACTTTCTGATCTGGCAGTAGCCTCTTTCCAAATAGAATGGTCTCCCCAACTCTCATCATTAGGCAGAAAAAGAAAAGTCACAAGCTTCCCAGATGCCTTGAAGAGTTCCAGAAAACCAAGTCAATTTTTTCCAAAACTGTCACTCAGAACAGTACAAAAGGCCCAATATGGCCTGATGATACTGTACTGTCACGAGAAACAGCAGTCGTAACCTGCTGAGTGCTTACTACTTGTCAGGTACTTCCCATGGATTAGTTCATTTCATACTCATGACCACTATGAAGTTGGTCTCACAGTGATTCGCATTTCACAGATGGAGAAACTGAGGTTTAAAAGTGTTAAGTAACAGGCCACGATCACACCACTGGTGCATGGTGGAGGCAGGATTCAAAGTCTAGACGGTGCACTGTTCCACCACCCACTAGGCTGACCCCCAGAGCAGCTGCTCTCAGCATCCACTACAACTCGACCTCTCCAGGGCCCTGCTTCCCCATCCATAACACGGAGTGTTAATGCCTATCATATTGCTCACATTTATAAGGAGCAAATCCAAAAATACATCTAAGCTTTTTAGAAGAAAAAAATGATAAACACTTATCATCACACATACATGGTTTTAAAGTGGTTTTGCAGAAGAAAAATATTATATTGTTCATGTCACATGATCTACGATAGCCTAAAACTAGTATGAAGTCCACAATTTCTGAGCATGGAGTGATAGTTAATTATTCTGGAGGGAAATAAGTATGAAATTATAGAAAGAAAGAAAGAGAGAGAGAGAGAAAGAGAGGAAGGAGAGAGGGAGGGAGGAAGGAAAGAAGGAAGGAAGGAAGGAAGGAAGGAAGGAAGGAAGGAAGGAAGGTAGGCAGGCAGGCAGGCAGGCAGGCAGGCAGGCAGGCAGGCCAGTCAATAAATGGACATGAGCACAAATGGGTGCATAGCAGGCATTTCGCCACTAGGGGGTATCACTGCACACAGGGGAGTTTTCAGATACTGGAAGAAAGAGGTTTAAATGATGGCATACAGTACTTCAGGTTGTTCAACCACTCAAAAAAAAAAAAGACTTACTGGACACTCTGCTCATGTCGGGAACTGTTCTGTATCTGTGTCTGAGATCTCGTGGTGAACAGGACATGGTCCCTGTTCTCAAAGAACTTATTGTAACTTATTATCCGTTGTTCTGAGAGAATACACATGAAAATGCTTTGGAAATGGTAAGACATCCTGGCAAAGGCAAGGAACTATTTCACTGCTATTGTATTGCATGGGGACGACGTCTTTACTACCTGCTCTAAGTCAACACATCTAAATTCCAAGAGTGTGTTCACCTGTTTTTCCCCTCCCCCATCCCAAGCCCTTTAAATGCCCGGCTGTCCATGACTTGGACGTTTCTGGAAGGAGGAAAACAGAAGTTCTTAAAGGCAAAGGCTCTTCCTGTAAAGCCTTAAGTCCCTGAAGATGTTATCCCTTTGTGCGTGCGTGTGTGTCAGGGGAAGGGTACTTTAGAGAGAAAAGGCTGAATTTCCCTAAGACCAAGAAGATGTGGACAGGCCCTAGGGCCCTGAAATACTGGGAAACCTTGTATGGCTCCACACAGGGTGCCCTGGGGACCTCAGAAGGGGAAGGTTAGACCCTAGGCCTGGCAGCTCCTAGTTAACCAAAGATTCCAAGCCCCCAACCTAGTACAGAAGCCCAAGAGCAGCCAGACATGAAGAAGCCTATGGGCTGAGACAGGGGACATCTCAGGCGAGACCAGTGTGGACCTGGGACCGGAAGAGACTTCCTGCTATGTTGGCGCTTCAGAAAACCCCAAGATCACTGAGGTGGAGATGGGGCGCAGTGACTGAAACTGAACTCCTGCCAACCGGTGCTATGGGGGCTTACAGTCAGTTTTAAGTCGATTTAGTAAGAAAAAAAAGGAGGAAGGACAGTCTTACTAATTGAATTGTGGAGGCAGGTGCATACCTTCCACACTGGCTCACTCGCCTTTAAACACACCTGGGACCGTTACTAAGAGCAGCTACTGTGAGAGACAAGTCCTGGGGGGCAGTGAGGAGGCTGAGCAGGCATCTCCCTGCAATGGGGCGGGGGAAGGGGATGGGAGGGAGTTCTGACCAGCTGGGACCATCAAGAGCCCCAAACCCAGAGAGGGCCTCTGGCACCTGGAATTGCACCTGACTCAAGGCAGGGGCTGCGACTGACCCTGGCTTAGCTACCAGGTGCCAAGTCCAGTTCAGGGACTACTGGGAATGAGAAAAACAAGGGGGCACACATTTTCTATCTAATAAACTCACAGCATAACCCGCCCCCTCCAGGGCGCAATGATTCCATATTTTGCATGTCCTCGTGCATCTGCAGAAATATAAGCTTACAAATTTGATATACGCCAAATCAGAACATCTCCGCACCGCCACCCATTCAGCCAAAGACAAACTTAGCAGCTGTACGGTGCTCCATGTGGCCTCACAAGAGACACCTCTGTCTGTTTGGGTAGGCAGAACGGAGTGGAGAAAGCTGGACCTGTGCCCCCATAAAGATAGTCGGGCCCCACCACCAGCCATACCCACTGGCCACAGACACAGTCTGGCCCCTCATGGAGCAGCCAACCTCACCACGCTGCCTCCACACACAGCAAATGAGAAAGGGGACAGCCAACTGGGGACACAAGGGAGGGTAGAAGAAGAGAGGCAGGTGAACCACACTTCAAACTCTGTACCTTTCTTCCCCAAGAGTCTACTCTGAACTGACCTTACCTGTGGAGCCTTCCCAAAGCAGGTGTTCACTCCAGCCCCCCAGACTACACTCATGCAGGCTTAGATCCATTTCTGCCATGAGCTGTCCTTTATCTTTTTTCATATACTTCCATCATTTGTCCTCTAAGAGACTGGAGGTCTGTCTCAGAGCAGGGACTAGAGCTTTTTCTCCCATCACCTTCTCTATCCTGCCCAGAACTGCTCAAGCTCACAGCAAGTGCTCTGAGGCTCCACGTGCCTGAATGTAGGGGATGCTAACTCCCTTCAGGGGGTAGGAATGTGTTACAAAGCTGGGGTTCCCAGCACTGCATCTATCTCATCTTCATCATGAAGATCCAGGACCTCAAAAATGTTGTAGTCCTGATGAATAAAGTTATGGTCCTCAATATACAAAGAACAGTTATGAATCAGTAAGAAATCCCAAGTGACTGCTATGCATCAGTGTCAGAGCTTGGCATACTAAAAGATGGCATACCTCATGTGGGTTTCCAGCTACTACATCCCCAATTTCTCTGAAACACAAAGAAAGAAGAAAACAAAATGAGTAAGTTAAAAGTACAGCTAATGGCTAGGATGTTTTAAGAAGTTTTAACCCTGACGAGGGATTGGTTCCAACACAAGACCTTTAGTTCCTACTAGTACCAAACTGCATAAACTGAGCCAGGTTCCTTTCCTCTACCTCCTCAGTCCCCACCCAACTCTGACAAGAATTGCCAAGTTCAGTTGGCACTTCATGGAATCTTGAGTGTTCACCTGGTGGACCATTCTCCTGGGGAATTCTCTCCTCACCTTGCCCTAGTGACTATTTTCATTTTCCCCTAGGAACCCAGCAATGTGAATCCCTGTTGAGATGGTGTCTGAGGAATGAGCTACCAAGCCCACAGCCACGTGTATATGCACACACGTACATGGTATGTGGTGGAGTGTGGGGGGTGTAGGGGGACTATGCTATGTGTAGTGTTTGTGTACGTGGTGTGTGTGGTGTATGCAGTGTATGTGTGGTATGTGTGTGGTATATATGTACATGGAATATATGTATATGTGTGTGGTGTGGTGGGGGTGGGGGGATGTCTGTGTGGTGTGTGTGTCTGCGGTGTATGTAAGGGTCAGAGGCAGTGCTCTCATCTAGATCCTTCTCTGGGTGGTGCCCATCCCTGCTAAGAGAAAAACACTCTAACCAGGCTGTTCCCTTTCTCTCCAGCCTTGACCGTTTTTTTTTTTTAAAAAGAAAACTCCCCAGGGTCCTGTAGACCAAAGTAGAGCGGCAGGAGGGGACACCTTATGAAGGACCCTTGGGACCCACGGTGTTTCACAAAGTTCTTCGGCGCGCCCACAACGACAGGTCCCTCCGCCACCCCGGCACTGCGAGCACCCGCCACCACCGCGGAGGGAAAGGACACGCACAGGGCCTTGGCCTTCTTCTCCGAGAACACCCTCAGGCAGAAGTCGCCATCCCTGAAGGGCTCGAAGGTGGCCGGCACCACCACGTACAGCCCCGGGGGCAGCCGGACGCGCGCGGAGACCTCGCGCAGGTTGACGTAGGTGGCGGAGCGCGCGGAGGGCTGGCGGCCCTGGAAGAAGTCCCGGCCCAGCTGCGCGGCCGCGGGCCCCTCCCGCTGCACAAAGCAACAGTCAGCGTCAGTTTCTCCTGAAACCCTGGAAGACGGAGGCCAAAGAGGTGGGTTTTCTCGCGCTGATTTAGGCATCGCTGACTCTGAACACTGGGCTGAGAATCGGGAGGCCCTGGATTCGGGCGTGAATTCACCGAGTGTCGATCATCACGTGTACTCAGAGCACCTGGGGGCCCAGCCCCGGTAGCGGCACTGACCTTGACAATGCGACCTTGGCCAGACCCCTTGCCCTCTTCCCGGTTAAATGAAGGGTTGGACAATAGGGTCTCTAGTGTGTGCTCCGCTTCTCTGGATATTTGTTCTCGTGAATCACCTCTCACTGAATCCGACAGGCGTTTACTCTGCAGCTATATCTGGGGGTGTGGCATTGAGCACCCATATAGGCCTGGGGCTTAAATCTTGGTTCTCAAGCAACAGCAGCCAAAGGCCCGCTCACCTTTCCCTGGCTGGGACGATTGCTCTGCAAAGTAAGCAGGGCCATCGAGCTGGGGGTCCAGGGAGGCAGCTCCCAAGGAGGCAGATGAGGGGGCGGCCACAGCCAGGCCTCCCTCTGGGCCTTGGCTCTCCTCCAGGGGGGAGATGCTCCCCATGACCCATCTGTTTGTTGGAGGGAGAGAGAGGCCGTGGGTGTAGGACACAGGCTAATTAGTGGCTACAGAGTGCTTTGAAAACACAGGTGCCCATGTCATTACTGCTGTCGTTAAGCACCACCACCACCCCCACTCCCACCCCACCCCCACACACTGTATCTTTATAATCAGTCTTCATCAAGATGCCTGTGACAGAGGGCAGGTGCTGTAAGCTGCAAGGGCTCTGACTTGCGTGTGACCTGAAGCTGGGATCCCCAGAGTGGACAGTGACCATGTCTGGTCACCAGACCCTCTTTGGACCACAGGTCAGCTAAGCAGGAGAGGAAGGCAGGGCCACCCATCCCCACTGCCCTGGCCAGGACTCCACAGGACCCCCAGCTAGCCCCTGCTGACCCAAGTACTAAGCCAGCCAGAGCCTTGGCTACCCCCTGAAAATGTTTATACTCAAGCAGACGAATGCTGGGCAGCAAGGCCTTGGCCAAGGTCTAAGTGTTGGGGCTAAATGTCATTCTTGCCCTCCCTTATGAAATCAAGGGGAGGAAACAGGCAACCAGCAGGGAAAAGTATCCAGTAAAGTATCTAGGAATTTGGGTTGGATTGGGAAAGGGGCCAGCTGAGTTCCAGCAAGAACCCAGGGATGGGACACATTAGGAGAAAACTTATTCAGGAGGCCAGAGTAAAAAGTGGGGAACACGGGGGCAGGAGCTGGGTCCCCTCAGTCCTACCAGGGATTCCAAACAGGTATGTGCCACCAGGCCCCTGGCCCTCGCACCTTCCCATGGCCTGACCCAACTGGGAGTCTATGGGCCCAGGGTCAGCGCGGGCAGCCCTGGGGGACTTGTTGGAAATGCAAATTCTCAGGCCCCACACCAGAGACACTGGGGGTGGGGTCCAGTGGGCTGTGCTTTCTCAAGCCCCCAGGGGCTTCTAAGGCAGTAGTTTGAGAACCACTGACCACAGACCCCTTGCACTTGAGAGCACAGGATCCACAGCAAACCCACTGAGGGCCCTGGGATGCTGCTGGGGTAGGTTTCACTGTTTGTGCATAGGACCTCTCTCTCATATAAATGGGCCATTTCTAATGGGAACCACTACTGATCAGACTTAAGTTTGAATTTAATCTCTTTTGAATGGTGAAGAGGCATTTGCTCTAAATCATCCATACCCCCTTGTCTATTGCCTCCATAATCAATAATATGCATGTGTGAGTCGACCGGCAGGGTAGACCAGTGGTCCACAGCCTCAGAAGAGTGCATTGGCTGGAGCTGGTGAACTTGGACATCACCGGCACATGCCACAAGGTGGCCCAGCTTAGAATCTGGGGAAGCAGGGGTAAGACTGCAGCAGAGCAAATGAACCTCTGCATAATTAGAGAAACAGACACTTGGTGGGGGTGCAGACAAAACAAATGGTTCCTAACCTCAGCTCCACACTGGAATCTCCCCCAGAGATTCTACAAGAATTGGTCTGGGGTGCATCCTGGGCATAGAGATTTTTAAGAGCTCCCAGGTGTCCCCAGTCTGCAGCTGAGCAAAGGCTCGCTAGGCCAGGACTTTTGTGCTAGCTGCATTGATGCCGCACTGTCACAGGGGACCCCAGCAGTACCTCCCCTCAACTGGTGAGGCAGCTGGAATAGCTGAGTGAGGCCTGGGACGGCAGCCGGAAACTCCAGATGTAAGTATGACAATGATGACATGTCTCTTTAAACCCAGCTGTAAATCACTGAGCAGGTGCACGAAAAGCCAGGAGCCAAAAAGATAAAGTTGGGGCTTTCTTTTCTTTTCAGGAATCAGGGCATTATTTCTGCTGGCTAGATAACCAGGAGCCTAAGTGAGCTACTTGTTTGGATCAGACCACCAGGCAAAGGTCCCTACTGTTCCCTTTCAGGAGGGTGGGACCCAGTTGTCTTTATCAGCTCCCAGGGTTACCAGCTCACCGGAGCATGTGGGAATCTGTTTGTGGGAGAACTGGCTTCCAGCAAAGGAAGCAGACGGCACTGGTACCCATCCTGGATGCAGCCCAGCGATTCCTTACCAGAGAAGGGACCTCTCCGTCAGCACCCACATACCTCTTTGGGGACCTACAGGGCAGGAGAAGAGGACAGATCACCTGAGGATGCCACAGTCCTCCCTTGGTGCCTTTGTGTCCCTCCCCACATCTGGCAGATAGACTGTGCATTCCTGGGCCACCGGGAGGAAGTCTGTGCTAAAGTAGAAACTAGTCAGCATTTCTGAAACTGGAAAGCCATTGGTGAATTTCACGGCCATCTGGAGACTCCTGAGCCCTAGAAATCTGAAAGAAAGAAAGAAAAATGATCTACTTTATTTTTCTCCTTATATAATCTACCAGGATCCCAAATTATTCAAGAGTCATAACCTGGGGATTTAAATGAGAGCTAACATCTTCCAGACCTACAGACCCAGCTTCCAGATCTCTGATGGGCTCAGCCAGAAAGGGATCTCACTCAACTTGAGACATAATTTAATCGCTGTTGACTACAGGGATTGGTCCAGGAAGAGGCATGTGACCCAGGCTGAGCCCATCAGAGATTTCTCTAATATTTTTGAATAGGAACTAAGAGAAGGGGGCCTTTCTTTTATGTGAGTGACATTAGGGAGATTGTGCAGGAAGCCAGACCAGGAGAGGAGACACCAGAGAGGAGATGTGGAAGGAAAGGGTCCTGATAGCATCACGTCCCTTGTCCCCTGTATGCCTGTCGTTCCCTGGGTTTGGTTACATGAGCTGGTCAATGCCTTTTTCACTAGTCTACGTAGAGGTAGGTCCTATTATTTGCAGCAGGAAATGCTGATTCCACAGGGGATCAACTCTCAGGTGCAGAGTGGGAGGCCTCCCTTGCCAGGGTAGAGAAGAGGGTTCAAGCCCCTTATGTCCTTTTCCCGCTTTTGCCCCTGCCACGCCGGCTCTTTTGACCAGAAAGCAGGAAGGGCATTGTTTAACAGTGGCTGAGGTCCATGGCCAACTGCCAGCTCACCCTGTTTGTAATTGGCAGCAGAGGCAGAAAAGTCTAGGGTCACTGTCACTCTAACTTTGAGTTTAAAGCCAAAATCCCCCAAGCAGAGGCCTGGCCGTTTGGGAGAGCAGCCATCCTCAAGGGACCCTCCTCCTCCTCCCTACCTAACCGTCTTCACGCCCTTGGCAGGAATTCTGGGCTGTCCTTCCGTTCACCCTGCTCACCGCCGCTGCCGGCAGGATGCTCGCAATCTACTGCCAAGAGTTCCCGGGCAGGAACTGAGCCAGCCAGGCGGCCTGGGTGACACAAGTCCCAAGCAGGAGAGCAAGCCAGGCTCACCCACTGATAGATGGAAAGGGACAGTCACTTTTGAAATGCAGGATCTGGAATGCAAATGACAGGGCTGCCTGGCAGGAACCTGTTGTCACCGCAGGAAGATAACAGGGGAGAGAGGAGGCCAGACAAGCAGGGCTCTTTAGCCTTCGGGGGTTTCTGGCTGCTTTTCAGTGTCTGGTCTCCAACCTCAAACTAGACTCCAGTTTGCAGACAGTTAAAGCGAGAGGAAGCAGTTCCAGGGGTCAGAGAGTGGTCCCCCCTGCAATCCTTACACTCCATCCCTCCACCACCAGGTACTTTCTACAAGCAGAAGGAACCCCCCACGCCCTCAGATGCCCCCCACAATGTTGTACACCCTCCTCAACCTAACTCTAAAGCAGCTTGTGTTCACAGATGTCATCTAAATTGTCTGCCTCAGGCTCTAAGAAGGAGGTCCACAGATAACATACATGGGGTTACATTTTATAAGCAGCTGTAAACTGATGTCTGAAAAATTGACATGCTGTATATATTATTTATGAGAGCAAACACTATGCCCACAAAGCTATTTCCCCGTGTTCACTTGTGTCCCTTTGAAAGAACATGTTGCTGATCCAGTTATAGAAGGTAGAGCCAGTAGATGACGAGCTGGTGGCCACAGTCCATGTGTAGCCCACCCTTCGGCCAGGGCCGCCTACTGCCAGCTCTCCAAACCCATCACTTACTCTCCAGCTGTCAAGAAGCACCTGTCCCTTATGGTGTCCCCTGTGGCTGGGACCCTTCTCCCTTCTCCACCTCTGAAATCCAGCTCTTTTTTTTTTTTTTTTTTTTTGAAAACCTGATCAAAATTTTCCTCCTCCATGAAGCTATCCCTCTCTGAGGAGACCTCCGCCCACAGTGCTGGTCCCCATGGCAACAGGTCTGACCTGCCCTGTAGTTAGTGGAGTGTGTATCTGATTTCCCCTCCTAGATTGTGAGCACCCAAGGGCACTAACCTTGTGCTATTCCTCTGTATCTCAGCCTTCAGCACGGCACCTGGGACAGCAGATACGCCCTGAAGACTGGTGTAACTGATATGCATAAGGAAGTGCTTTCTCGGGGTTTTTTAATCCCTATAAACACAGAATCTGGTTTGGTGCTACTTACGTTCTAGATGGCGATGGAAGGGCCAAGCTGGAGTAGAACTGGAGCTAATTTATTTGAAAGTCTCCTCCTGCCATCAAGCAGTAATTATTTTCTAACTCCCATTCCTCCAACATACACACACACACGCATCCTAAACTCTAAAGCCCGAAGAGAAAGAAAGGGGCTGGAGGTTGTATGAGCTCAACAATGGTACTTTTCCTTACTGGTTTCTTACTACAATACTTCTTTTTCACACTGTAATTTATCCTGAGATGTTGGGCCTCCAGCCAGCTCTTGGTCTTTCTCGTTAGAACTGTATTTTTCCCAAGAAATTCATTTTTAACAAAATTGTGTAAAAACAACTACCACGAATCCCTCCACAATTTGTTATAAAAAGTCTTTGCCTGTATAAAAAAGTGGATTCCAATCTGATCCGGGCTAGGCTTGTCAGGACCCCAGAGGTCCTGCTCTAATGTAACTGTGAGGCTGTGAAACCTATAGAGGGGTGGTTCCCAGGGCAGGCTGGTGTACTGAGCCAGGCTCTGCGGCCTGGAGCCAGAGCCAGCTGTGGCCTTCAGTCCAGAGACACCAGAACTGAAAATGGCCATGGGGCTTCCTTACCCAGCCCATGCCTTGTGTGTCTCAACAAGTGTCTCAGGGCTGCCCAGGGAGGAAGAGGGGGTTTGTCTTTGGCTCCATATCCAGCCTCCCTTCCCCTACTCTGTGATGTCCTCATTACCTTGTGTCACCTCTGGTGCCATGTGCCCCCATGTTCTTGGCACCTCTCCTCTGAGAGGCCTGTACCTAGAAAGAGTCTAATAAGTGCATTTACACTAAACCCTCAATGACAGGCCAAGTTGAATGCATCACACGTCTCAATGTTAACAGCAGAGACTTAAGCCAGAGAAATGACTCTCTAATTGTCGAATCCAGGCCTCAGTAATTGGGAGAGGCATTTGGGGGAGCAAGGAGAATGCCTGATTAGGAACATTCAAACAATAAGAAAGATGTGCTTCAATTGCTGGCCAAAATATTCTGGCCAAAGGCTTCGGGTGTGCAATGATGGGTGACCCGAGCCCCAAAGTACCTTGTAGACAGCGTAGCCGATGCTGAGCATGCCCTGTCCCATCCTCTTCTGTCGCCTGCGGTTCTTCTGCATCAGCCCCAGCAGCACCGTACAGCAGGGTTCACCGGCGCTCTCCTCCTGGTGGTCGTCCACCTCATCCAAACGGATTTCAAACTGGGGATTTGTCCAGTAAGTGGCTGGAAGCCACCCAGGAGATGATGGTTTCCCCGAAGGAGGGGTGAGGACATCGGGAAGAACAGAACGAAAGGGAGGAACTTTGATCATCCCAATGAAAGCAAACTCTGCGAGTAAAGGCCTTGGCAAGTTTTCCTTACAAGGTGGTCAGGCGTTTTATTTCTCACTACCCCACCCCACCCATATACCAGCAGACACACCTACATATGGAAAGCTTACACTTGTCCATTTGATCACCCAGGGGCCCAGACATGCTTGACTGGGGATAGTCCAGGTTCCATGGGCCCAGGGCTACACTGGGCCTCCCTGGGAAGGAAACTCCAAGTCTTCCTGGGGAAATTAACATCTCCTTGTTCTCAGCTCCTGGCCTATGAAGACAAGCCCACCTCTTGGAGGAAGGAGGTCTCTGGGGGAAAAGCATGTCCCTGGGTCAGATGAGAACAAAGACCAGCTACCAGCTACCAAAGAGGCCTCTGCTGACAGGGTATAAAGACAACCACTCTTGTCCCCTGGGAAGCCCCATCTGACAGGCCCCCACTTCAGATCACAACCCTGATCCTCTGTCCAGCAGCCCAGGGACCCCACGAGATGGTTTGGCATTGCAGCCAGTGATGAGACACACTCCCTTCAATTTAATAATGTCATTTACTAATGCCTGAGGGATAATCATTGGCAATTAAGCATGCCTGCCACACCACCTATGGATATTTTTAAAGACTGTTTCGTTTCAAATATGACCTTTAAAAAAAACTCTCCAAATATGACTGTACAAGCCAAGGCACAGAGAGGGCAACTGAGCCATCCAACAACACACAGCAATTCTATGACAGACTCAAGTGGTGGAGTATAATTGAGGAAGATGGCTTGACGGCAATCTCCATGCCAGGGCCTCAACAATTTCAATAATGATGCACGCCGGGGGGAGAAAGGAGTGGGGAAAGGAGGGAGTTCTTACATCCTATAAATCAGGCTCCAACTTGATAAAATAACAAGGCATCCATGGGTAACCAAAAGCCACTGATAATTATGTTTTCTTAACCATAAAGTTACTTACTCAATTCCAGCTTCCCAGAAACTCCACTTCTAGATTTTTTTTTAAGGCACAAGTGTGTGGATTTAAAAGCCAAATATCTGTTGATTCCAGAGGAGACAGAGACAATTCTGTAATCTCCTATACTTACATCATTACCAAAGGGCAGGAATGATCCATCTCTCCCTGACAGCTAGTTGGCAGCACAGACGGTATAGCAATTTCATGCATACAGATACCTTAGTTCCCCTGCCCCCCGACCGCCATGGTTCTGAGCCCCCAAAATGATCCAGGCAAATTTCCTACGCATTTTCTAAGAGCTTGCTAATGGTGAGCATATTTTAATTTCTCCCAAATGCAACATTACTGCAATTCCTACATTTTTTGTTTACTCCTTAACAGAACTAGAGGAAGAGAATGGGTCGTAAAAATAATACATCCCATTTTTTAACACTACAGTTTACAAAGTGCGTCCAAGGGTGGGTATTATGCCTCCGCTTTGGGAAACTGAAGCTCAGCACAGAGAAATGACCCTCCCAGGGTCCCACAGCTGCTGGGCCGAGCATCTGAGTGACAGTGGCAGGAAAGGCCCTCCGCCCTTCCACTCGGCTCAGCGCTCGTCTCTGCCGTCTGAAATGGGAGCTGGGGTTGGTGGGGATAAACAACAAGAGCCCTGGTCAAGACCTAGGACTGCGCCCACGCGGGATTTTATTATAATGCTGCTTCCACAGCACCGAGCACAGGCCTGCAGTGAGCCCAGCCGTGAGGATGAGATCCTGTGCTTACAGTGCAAGTCAATCAACATCAACAGCAGACCCAGAGAGAGAGTGGGGCCTGGGGAGGTGGGAGGTGGAAAGGGTGGGTTTTGCTCTCTTTCATTTTTCCTTAGAGACGTGGGGTCGTTTTTCGGAATTTCTTCTTCTGGTGCTGCCTCGGCTGACTCGACCTAGGAGGAGCCTGTATAAGGAGATATTAGTGATCTCCTGCGAATGGGGAAGGCTTCCCACCTTCAATAAGATGAGGACCCGGTTAGCGCAGAGGCAGCAGTTTGCACCAGACTGTCCCCACCAGGGATGGAGCTGCGATGACTCCCATGGGAGCGGAAGGCAGCCATTCGCACGCCCTGTGTGAGGCCATCCCTGACCTGCCCCACTGTCAGGCCCCACCACCTCCAACACAGGCGCAGACGCAGAGCAGAATGGCTGTTCTAATGGATTCGATCTGCTGCGCCCGTGTTCCTCCACTACTGCATCAGCCACTGTCCCAGCTCAGTGGGCTGGGTACCAGCCAGTAGGGCCGCATGGGGATGGAGGAAGCCCAAGAGAAAAACAGGAGGCCTTAGTGCATGGTGCCAAAAGCCCAGTTAGTACGAAGAAGCAGGGGTAGGGGGGTGAAGCAGAGACCCTCTGGACACAGAAGCTGAAAAAGGACCTGAGATGAGGCCCCAGGTGAGGGGCTGCCGAGCCACCACCCACCCTCACTGTCCTGGCCTCCAAGCCCCATAAAGAACTGGGCCACCAAGGGTGCCAGGAGCCAGAGAGCAGAGTACAAAGGCATCATCAAAGATCAACTTATAAGGACGCCCAGCTCGGGGAGGACAAGCCGGAAGGAGGTGGGCCCGGTGGCCCTTGGCCTCACCTGGGTAGTTCTGGCAGCCGCCGGCAGTGCAGCCCCGCGTCCAGCGCCCGTTGAACAGGACCAGGTTCCACTTGTGCACCTCCTTGCTGCTCAGGGAGTCTGGGGACAGGTTGCAGATCTCCAGCCGAGAGAACTGCCGCAAGAAATCTGAAAAAGACATCCTAGGAGCAGAGGGATCCGTGGGCTCTTGGTCAGGAGAACTGGGCTGGAAAGGTGATGGAGGCAGGCCCACTGGGCACAGGACAGAGCCAAGGCCAGGGGCTAATGCTCATCTTTTCTACATTGCACAGATATGCAAGGACTATGGTCCAAATTCTTCACTGTTGTTAGTGTCTCCATTCTTCTTAGACAGCTGCCTTCACACATCTGACCAATCAGTCAAAGAGACTGATCCATAAACTGGAGAGACCCTGGGAGTGAGCCAAGCCCCCACCTCTAGGTTCCCTCCTGTCTGGTGTCCAGCCTAGAGATGGCCTCCAAGCCACATCACATTCCTAGCAGTGTCTCTATCATCTTCTTAGCCCACGAATGAAGGAAGTGATCCTATTTTGATGCTAAGCTAAATCTTGGACTTACAGAGATAGAAGTAGGGCTCCTATTTCATTGGAAAGATATGAAACTGAGGAAGACAGGCTGATAGCTCATCCTCACTGAGGCCCAGATAGCTTGGTTTCAGTGCTTTGGACTGTCTGGGATAGAGGCAGGATTGCTCTGGGGTAACCGTGTTGGACTCCTGGAACACCTAGAGATAGCGGCTCAGTCCAAACCGGGAACAAACCCACAACCAAGGGGACCACGCTCCCACAGACAACGCTCACCAGAACTCTCCATCCTCAACTTTCTTGTACAGCTCTTCTTTCTGCCTGGGAGCTATGTAATTCCACTCCGGTGCACTGGGAGGAGAAGAAAAAAATCAAGTTTTTTTCAAAAGGAAGCAGCGGTGGGTCATTCCTGAAGGGTCTGCTGCAGTGCAGGCTGTTTACTGCAGCTGAACTTCCCGCTGAGGGTCAGCAATGGGCAATACCTAAAAACCCGACAGGGTGCAAGGACAGAGTGGGGGCGGGGACATAGGATGGGGAAGGGACAAAACTCCAGGGGCACGAGCGGGTGACCCCAGATGTGCAGCAGGAAGACTGAGCCACGGCCTTGCTCTAATTTCACTTTCCAAGTGAGTTTTATCCTGATTCAGATCCCACTCCTATCCTTATCAATTGGTGAGACGTCATTCTGGCTTATCTATCAGTCTGGGGTGAAGATACCGTGACAGGGTCCGACCCTCTCTGGGCACCCTTCCTGAGACTGCAGAATGACGGTCAGGCCCAGTTTTGTGGCAATTTCCCTGAAGTAATGTCACCCTGTGAGGCCTCCTGCTGGTGTGGCAGCCTTTCAGTGGCAATACGCACATACTTTGTTCAAATGCCATCTCCAGTTACCTGACCTTTACAGACTGAGGTTTTCCTGAAATATGTATGCAATGTTTAAATAACTGAGCAGTATCAAAATGTGAACACCTCTCCTTCCCTGCATAAAAGCTAGGGTACACCCAAGCCCAGCCTCTCCCTCCTGGGAGGCTCTCAGGACCCCGAGGGATCAGGCAGGGGAATGCCCAGGGCCTCTTTAATTCGTGGAAACATTAATTGGATCAGAACCAAACCTCAGAATGTGCTTGTTATAAACGGAGATTAGGGGTCAAGTTGGAGAATTCAAGGTCTGACCAAAATCTCCCAGTTAGGTTTCTGAAACTTAAAAATTGTTTTAATCTAAAGACACTGGGCTGATGCTAGGGGTTTTACCTCAGGGATGCGGCGCCCTCCGCCCTTGACAGCAGTACATAAATACCCTATGTTGCATTTCCAGATGGTGGAGCCTGTGAGCCTCACCAGCTGCCCCCTCCCCCCACCCTCGGGCCCGTCCCAGCCTGTTAGAGACTGGGTGGCATCAGGGAAAGCAGATAAAGTCATGTAAGCCCTGGAAGCAGCTTGGGAAACAGCTGCTGGTTAAAGTGGCCAAAACTCGGCGTTTCAGTTTCATTCAGCCGTGACATCCTTTCTGGGCAGTTGGCAGAACTAAGGTATTGGGTTTTGCTCAATCTTAGGCAGTAGAATGAAAAATCTTTAATACGGGAGGTGCTCCGTGGCCCTAGCAACATGTGTTTCTCGTGACACAAACCTCAAAGGAAGTACCGTGGTTCTGAGCAGGAATGATGTATGATTAGTTAACAAAAATAATGAAGTTCCCTTCAAAAGCCCTGGTGGCATCATGAGTGTGGACAGCACACGGTGGTCAGATGGGGCTTAAGGACGTGTTGGGAGGGGTGTATTATTATGACCATTCCCCTTTCTGGTGGTTCGTCATCAAGCACACTGGTAAGTTCTCAGTCCTGCCCCAGCACCATGAACTCTCCATCCCCCTGTACCACAGTGACATCAATCCTAGGGTGCAGCTGTCGTGAGACACCACAGGAGGCCTCTGTGTCCAGACACCATCCCTGACTGGCTGCCTCTCTCTGCTCTGAGAGTCCTGCCCAAGAAGAGCCTCTCTAGTCATTAATGGCTTTGTCGGAAGAGATCGATACCTGCCCATAATAAGCTCTCCAGGAGTGAGCACCACTCCCATTCATCACTGCCTGCGGCGGCCAGTGACTCCTAGGACCGAGGTCCTCTTTCTAACGGTCATTTCCTTTGGCCTTTGTCAGAGTGACTGGGGTTTGTGGTGCAGAAAGAATCCGGTCGAGAGTGATGGGTCTCACCTTTGGACGCCCGCGGTGTGGTAGGTTGAAAACAGGTGAACCCTCCAGCGCTCAGCAAAATTTCACTGAGCTGCCAAACTTGCAAATGCCAAAGCAGGGATCCGGAATCAAAGACTACAGCTGAGAGGTTTTTGTTTGGCTTTTCCTCACCTGGAACCACCTAACGCTCTTTTCTGAACAGGCTGTGTAATTTGTAGACAGAAAGTGCTGTCAAGCGGACTACATCTCGATTGTTGTGTGTTTTGCGTGATGCTGTCCTGCAGAGGGAGGGGAGGGCAGGCAAGCGGAGAGAGGAAGGAACCTACTTATCACTCCAGGCCCCCGTCCACTCCACTTCGCCCCACGGGTTCCTGAGTCTGATCAGCTTCTCTGGACGGCCCCGGAAATCCACCTGCAAGGTCCACACACAAAAGCAGCTGAATGGCTGCACCCACCCCTGCTGCCCTGCATTCATGTCTGCACTGATGAGGACTTCAATTCTTCAAACGCCCCTCAACAACCACTTTTATTTCCTCTTAACACCTGTTTTTCACAATCTAGTTGAATAAATAGCAAATCTAGCATAAAAACGAGTTTATATCTGCTTTCACTTGGATTTACTTTTTAACTGTTTTTTGTTTTGTTTGCCTTGTTTTACCACTTTAATTATTTCGAAGGAGGCAATTAGGTTTATTTATTTTACTTTATTATTTTTTAATGGAGGTGCTGGGGATTGAATCCAGGACCTGTGCGTGCTAAGCATGCATTCTACCGCTAAGCTATACCTCCCCGCCGTCACTTGGATTTAGATTTTATAGTTGACTAGGAATGACCCAGTTCTTAATATATGAGACCTCCTGATAATAAATGGCCTCCAGCATATACTAGGAGCAGGTCCTATGGGCTAGGCCTGGAGCTGGGTGGGCATTTCACCTCCTGTAAACCTCAGGACAATCCTATTAGCTGGGTACTGTTATTGTCTTCATTTTACAGCTCAAAACTCTGAGACTCAGAGGGGTTGAGTCAGCCAAGATTGCCTAGTTAGTAAGTGGCAGGCAGAGGCTGGGCACCCGGGAAGTCTGTCTCAAGGCCCATACTCAGGAATCCCTACCCCCGCCATCCCCCAATCTCGATGGGACACGCACCAGGAGCCCCCCTGCATGCATGTGCAGCCACCCACACAAACACAATGAACTGTCAGGCCTCCAGAGTCTTTCCTTCCTTCATATCTTCCGTCATACCCTCGCCCCCCGTTGACACATACATGCTCAATTTATAACTGGGAATTAACTTGATTAATGAGCATATTTGTGAAACATAAACACATGTAATGAACATTCATGCCTTTTTAGTAAATAACAAAAACAGAGACAACCATCACATTTCCCTTTCTGCCTGGCCATCAGGAAACCCAAAACAAAATTAATTTCTCAACTGTAGCATTGTCTTTAGCCGAGACTGTCTGCGGCATGTTACCTGCTGTATGGTTTTGTTGTGTCTATGTTTTTCATTGTAAACCACTGAAAATCCTTTTTGGAAGTCAGCAGAATATGGTCAATAAACATAATGAAAAGTGTAGCCCGTGCTTTCTCCTTGGGTTGGAGATAAGGAACATCCATGTTCCTTCCCACTATTATACCCCACCTTGAAAACTGGGGCACATATTACTGCCTTTTTTTGCTTTTGGGGATCCCATGGGTTCCCACTGCTGTCCCTGTACAAGCATAGTCCTTGGAATGAGTATAGACAATTTCTACAACTTTCCTCCAAAACCTTCTCCCTCCTCCTGGCCGCATCTCAGGTAGAGCCTGCATTTAGTTAGAACCCATAGAGCTGTAGCTCAGAGGTGACGTTATCCATCTCTGAGTGCGCAAGAGGCGGAAGGGCCCTTGTAATGAACGAGGGCTGAGTGTGGGTGGCGTCGGGGGCTCTGTGCGGTCTCTCTGGCCACACCTCAGCAGGGCAAGGAGTGCTTGGGCGTGATTCCCTCTCTTTCTCCCCAGGATGCCCAGGACGTATGGTAATATCACTCCACGTTACCCTTCCCTCTCCCCCAGCCCAGTCTTACCTCTTCGACTCCCGTGATAGAGTATGCGTGACTTTTAACCAGCTTCTGGCTCGTAATGGCCTCTGCTTCGGCTGCACTGGAGACCTGGGTTGAGAATAAAGTCGGCTCAGAGTTGCCGACCCTGACCTTGTTGAGGCCAGTCCTACAGTGCCTTCCAAGGGCAGGCTACCCAGCCATGGGGCCCCGGCGCAGGGCTGGGGGGTGCAGGCGCAGCAGGAAACCTCGGGTGAATAGAGGTCTCTCCATCCGGCCCCTTTGATCAGGCCTGTGGTTCCAGAACGGTACTGTGTGGCTACCAGTCCTGGAATATGACTTCTCAGGCTTTAAAATGACACAGGAAACTGGGAAATCATTTATTCTCCAAGAGGGACCCCGTGCTGCCTGAAGAAGACTCATTATCCATGACACCCGCTCTGGACAGGCCAGCCCTTGGGAAGGGGCTTCCCAAGGGTCCTTCCTCAACAGCCCCACCCCCTCCCCAGGCCCCAGTCCCCTTCTCCACCAAAAACACACAGATCCTGCTGGGATTTTTACAGAGAGGAGAAAGGGGGATTGTTCCTGCTTTGTCATTCACATCTGTGAGATCCCAGGTAAGGGTGAGAGAGGGAGGAGGAGCCGGTGGAGGAACAGGTGACAGCAGACCACAGGACTGGTAGCCCCCAGGCCTTGGTCTCCATGCCACCTCAGAACTGCCTACAGCCAGCCCCTCAACACAGGATACAACCCCTAGTTCAGAACCTCTTCCCTTTCCTTCAGTGATCTCAAAGCACATCCGAATTGTCAGTCACCTTATTTGTTTTCTGAAATCCCAAGATTACTTAGCAAAAGAGGATCAGAAAGGTAGGGCCCAGGATCCAGGGATCAAGTCTGCATTCTTAGGGCAATTCCTGCAGACCTGAAGGGGTTCAGCCATTAGGGGAAATGGGGGATGCCTACAGTGTCTGAGTTTATGAGACCAACTCCAGTCCCTACCCACTAATTAGGTCTTAACTGGCTCCCACGTGCTAGGGACCAATGTCAAGGGGACTTGCCCAGTAAGTCCCAGACTCTTCTCTGGCCCAGAGCCTTCCTGGCCTCTAGCCCCCTGTCCCATCCCTTCCCTACCACACATGGGGAGGGGGGAGCAAAGAGAAGCCATCCTGGCTCACGTCAATGGAACAGGCCAGCAGAGACCCCGAGCGGAGGGCCTTCCAGATGATCTGATACAGACTGGCTGGTGGCTTCTTCAGGTCATAAAACTCAGAGATGCCACCTGTGAAATCCTCAAACCCCTCCACTGTTGACCCTCCGGCAAGAGCCTCGTAAGAACCGTTGAGCCTGTCGGAAAAGAAAGAACTCGGGTATTATCCACAACAACTAGCATCCCCAGCGAGGGGACCACGTGGGATGCGGCAGGAGGGTGCTAGGACGTGGTGTGGTCTGGAGGATAAAGGAGGGCCTTTGCCAATTTTGTCTGTGGGCCAGGAAGGTGCTTCAGCACAGTTTCACGTGGCCTTCTCAGCACTTTGCTGGGAATGAATCTCAGATCACCTCTCACCAAACCACTCACTCTTTTAAAAAGCAAAAAGGATTCTTTCCGGAGTTGACCTTAGCTTCCTGGGTTTGGGGGAGTGGGAGGCCTGGGGCGGGTGAAGGGGGGCCCTCCCCCAAGGCTGAGGAGCATCCCGTGGGGTTTGCTTCGGGAATAGGACTGGGAAGGAACAGGGGTTGCAGAAAAGAGTACCAGTAATAGAAACTCATTAAGAGAACTCAAAAGAAGCCTTTGAACACTGAATGGCAGGGAGAAAGACAGTGACTCCTGAGCAAAGGGTGGAGGCCTTGTTGAGTTCGATATCTAAGTGCATTTGCTTTATTATTCTTCTTCATCCTGTTTCAAACAATTCACATGGACCTCAGAACTGAGATGGGGGTTTGAAAGAGGAGAAAGCTGGGGCTCAAGAGGCTAAGTGGTGGCCCCAAGCCACACATTCGTGTGGGACAGAGCCGAGCTTTAAGCCCTAGCCCAGATTTCTGTTTCTCTTAGTAAAGGTGGAACACCTGGGGGTCCCAGTGCTGGGAAAGACTTGGGGTGGCACCCAGAGTTGGGGAAGGGCGGGTAAGATCCCCCAGGGAGACCGGGGAGTCTCCCAGCTCCTGCCTGCCCCACTTACTTGGCATAGGCTTTCTCCAGCAGCGCGCTCCAGAACTCACTGCCTTCCTCCGAGTGCAGGAAGAGCAGCTTCCCGTCCTTGGTGGGCAGCCGGTCGTCAACAACCACCTCCACCCACTCTCCGTACTGCCAGAACTGGGGGAGGGAAAACACAGCGCCTGCTCGTGGGAATGAGCTGAGAGGCAGAGTGCGTGTCCTCAGTGGACCCCAGAAGGTGCCTTTGTGCTGATCAACATTCCAGCCTTGGCCCTTCAATCGGTACCTTAAGAGCAGGATGTCTTGCTTCTCCGTGCACATAGGAGATGCCAGCAAAAGCAGGAAACATCTAGTGCAGTGTCTGAGCTTGTGGATGAGAAAACTTGCCCAGCATCATGGGCAACAGTGCGCCTGACCTGGGCCCACACCTCCTGACCCTCGCTCCCAGATGCCTTCCTCAAGGCCCCACGAGGCCTGGGGGAGACCGGAGGGGAGGGACGCGTGGATGATCGGATGCAGGACTTAAAACAATGGTTCTCAAACTCAAGTGTGTGTCAGAGTCCCCTGGAGGGATTGTTAAAACCTAGGCTACTGGGCCCCAGCCCTAGATTTCTGATTTTTGAGGTGAGACCCAAGAGTACAGAAAGTGGTGTCAAGGGCTGTGAGCAAGACAACAATACCTGGAAATGGAAGATTCCCGCGTAGTTATCCTGGAAGTTCTGGTCCCTGGGGACCACGCGGTAAAGCAGCTCTTCATTCAAGGTGAGAGAGGCGATGGCCGCCAGAAGCCAGCAGTCACCTGTGCCGCGTCATGGGGGCACACACTGGTCAGGTGGGGCCAGCAGGGTCCCTTCTCTCTGACTCTCACTGCCCCGTTCAATCCAGAGTCACACCACACCCTTCAAGGTCGGATAAACTCTTCCTCTAGAGGAGGTCCCACTGCCTCGTTGGAAGTTCTCTGCTCTTCCCTGCTGCCCCCACCTCCACCACATGCTGACCGTGTCACAGGTCCTAAGCGCTCAACCAGTGGAGTAAAAAAATGGAAAGAAAGAGAAGAAGCAGCAAAAAATCAGTCTTTCTGATCCCTTAACAGCAACTGTAAGAAAACATTTGGTTGGGGGAAACACTGAAGCTATTTGGTCAGCCCAGGAAGTGTGTCTGTTCCTTCCTCCACTTGACCTTGGATAATAGAGAGTAGCGTCTTCGGGTCTTTTAGAGCACTGCCCGTTTGTGCTTCAGAGCTCAGCATTACAGCCGTGATGACCACTCACAGAGGCCTCCCTCCTCCACTCCCTCCCGTGGGTCAACATGCCTTTTCCAGCCCTCAGCCTTTAATCCCTGCCTTTTTGACTGTATTAAAGGACACACCTGCACATCTGTGGCTACTCTCACTTTGGTGGCCATTCCTATCTCTCTGGCTAGACTAAAAGCACACCGGAGGCAGGCAGCGGGCTCATACTTTTCACAGACTCCAGCGTAAAATGCTTTATTGAATGAAATGATGTCAGTAGGAAATTGTCTGACGGGATCGGAAAATTTGTACCTTAATTACCAGTAAGAAAGTCTCGTGACTTAGCGCATTTTGTAGTTGGTATTTCAGACAGGGAGAGATAAAACAGCATAGATTAATACTGCATAAGACTAGAACCAGATTTGGAACTTGGAGCTACTCTCCTAGTTAATAAAGCTCCTACAGCATAGTGTATCCAGCTGGAGCGGCGCTTCTCTGACCCAGCACTGCTGACGCTTTGGGCTGGATAATCCCGTGTTGTGGGCCGTCCCCCCGATGTGACAACCAAAAATGTCTCCAGACACTGCCAAGCATCCCCGTGGGGCGGGGGGCTGGGGGATCACACACACACACACACACACACCCTGATTGAGACCTCATGAGCCAGAACATCCACAGTGAAATCGGGGGATAAGGAAATTCTGCCTTGGAGGGAGGCTGGAAGAAATCGCTTTGCCGAAGTCTCCAGTTCACTGGAAATGATGATCTCCAGCCACTGTGGATGATGATAATGATGTTTCTTTAATCTATTCCTACTAGAGTTTTCTGGGAGCCACTTTCTGCTTCCCGCTTCCTTCTCTCACTCCTGTCTTCTCTGGTTAAAGAGAAGTGTGACAGACAGAGGAAAGCTCTGACTCGCTCCTGAAGGTCGGCATGGGTGCCAGGGGAGGAGCTCCTCTCACCCAGCTCCCAACACCTGCTCTTCTCAAGACCCCAGCACAGCACAATTAGACTCGGGATTTGGAAGAGTGACCATCTGACCTGCAGGCTCTGAGCTACACGACTATACTGTTCTTCTCCCCCTCCAAATCATACTGATGCCAGCCCTCACTTCTGCAAGCAGAGGCAAACCTGGCGACGTCAGTCCCACTGGGTCCCCATGGACCCCACCCCGCAGCCTCTGTGGCCAGCCTCCACCCCACAGATCCCCCTCTCCCCTCTCCCCAGTCTTAGCCCTGGAGCACAGATGGCTCCAGCTCTGCAATGGCCTTTTGGTATCCCCAGGGCTCCTGTACACGCTGAGCTTATTGTCACCTGCTCCCCCAAGCCACATCACTCTCTGGTAGTAGTGCCTGCCCAGGCTGGCCAGGCGGGGCACAGGGCCAGGGGAGTGAATGAATCAGTCGTGTCCACACCCCCTGCATCCTAGCGGGACCCTCCATTTATATTCCAGTCCTCTTCAAAGCATTCCGTAAATCTCCCCCATCTCACACCAGCCTCCAGCCCTCCTCGGAAAACATATCTCTGGGAGGTTCCCTTCCTTCAGGTGTAGGGATTCATTCTTATATGTCATTCTCACTCCCCAACACTTGGTAAGCTTTGCTCATGTGGGACACTGGGATAGGAGAGATGTAGATGACGTGATCCCTGCCCTTGGGGAGCCAACAGGCTTAGAAGAGTCAAAATCACATGGCCTTTGCACTCGGAAAGCCTGGATTTAAATCCTCAGGCCCCAGCTTGTCTGCTGAGTGACCTGCAGCCATCCTTTAACTCTTATGATCCTTGGTTTTCTGATCTGTAAATGGGTTTGTACCTCACAGTTTATTGTATGGGATCATTTCATACTGAGCAAAAAGGACTTATTTATAACAAGAGGGATTTTTAAGAATATACATAAATATCAACCTCCAGTTGGGTAGAGAGGACATCAGGACATAAAAGATAAAAGATGCACATGGAAGTACATGTAAGAGCAGACATATTTTTAGAGTGCCTCTTGAGTATCTTCATTCATGGTCCCCTATGGGTAAGCCAGCTCCTCTCTGCCCTGACCCCACCTGCCAATACAGATTCAGAGAAGGCAGACAGGAATGAGCAGTAAGAGGTGGGCTTCAAAACTCCAGAGCAAGGAGGCGGTGCCCAGATGGGCTGAGGTGAGCTCAGGGGACAGGGCCTCTTGGGCCCTCCCCAGCTGGGAGAGAAGTTCTGCACCACAGAGGGAGTGTGCAGCCCCCACAGGATCAAGAGAGTGGGGAGCAGTGATGGACAGCGATGCTTGTCTGGCTCTCCAGAAACCCTCTGAGTGCCCCTATGGCCTCAACAAATAAAGGACAGAGGCCACCAGTGTGATGCCAGCAGTGGACACCAGCAGAGGGCCAGGGCAGGAACCAGGCAGAGCACCTCTCAGCAGACACGCCAGTGTGCATGCAAGGCCCCAGCCAGTCAGTCCTTCAGCGCCATCTTAGAAAGGAGAAGGCAGAGGAGAGAAATCTGGAGGACCAGTTACCCTCAAGGGACTGAGTTATACAAAAAAAAACTGTTTCAACTATTGGACTGGACAAAGTTTTAAGCTGAACTGGACACAGTTTAGTTCCCCACTTCCCTAGGCAGGGACCCTGAGGAAGATCAAAGCACTTTTAGATCTCAGATATGTGCTAAGTGCCAAACCCAGTGACTCCAGAGAAGCTGGCTGAGATGAGCTTTCGGAAAGTCTCCCACAGTCAGCGACACTTCTGCTCAGAAGGGACAATTCCAGTGTCCTTCGCGTTTCCAGGGCAAAACAGGAGCCTCGGTGCCTCCTGGAACAGTAGGTGAGGGTTCTCAGGCTCTGTCTGCAGTGGTCTCTTTCTCTCAAACAGACAACTCTGAGTCAAAAGCAATGCATCCAGGAACAACAGTCACCCTCACAGGGCAAACACGAGCCCCTGTGCCAGGGCCTGCTCTGCCCGAAGCCCTTCAGCGTGACCACCTCCTGCTCTGAGTCGGGTGGAAAGCACCGTTCTCCGCGCCTTCTTGGAACCTGCCCGTGCACTCCGGGCTAAGGCACCCTGCACATCTGGCCCACAGTAAAGCCTGCCAAATCCTAAAGTAGGTTCATCCCGTGGTTTCTGGGCAAGGTGAGTTCTTACAAAATGGAGATGAGAAAAAAAAAAGGCAGACTAGACTCAGCCCTTTACCCTCCAAGAGTCTCCCTGAAATCACATAAGCCCCACCTTTGTTAGTGTCCCCTCTACAAGAAGGGTGCCTTCCTACATTTGAACCTTTTTAGCTTGGCACCAGGTAAAGAGGACATTTAATTCCCATTTTCCAGATGAGTAAAACTGAGGCCCTGAGCAGACAAGTGACCTCTCAAGGTCAGTGAGTATCGGAGCCAGGTCTCATCCAGCAGGATGATTAGCCTGCTGCCTTCCCACACCTGCAGAACCCTGGGAAGCCAATGAAACGGCATTATCCCACCATGTGAAACATAAGCCCTAGACGCCTGGGCAAGACGCACAGCTTCTCCTTAGCCTCCCCTCGGCCTCACTTTCCATCTGCCTTCACCACCCTTCCCTAACCCCCCCAACTAACCTTTGCTTCACCCTCTGACCTCCTCACATAGTAGCATCTACTTACATCCCAATAGCATAAGATAGTTGCTACTCCTTGGAGTTGTTATGAAGATTAAGAAAAACGAGAGAACATGTGGAAAGTGCTTAGCTCAGTGCCCGCTGCAGAGAAAGCCTTCAATAAGCCTCCACATTATTAACAGTTATCACCCAACTAATCAAAAACACAGCGGAGCCCAAACAAGTGAATCAACAAACATTTATCGAGCGTCTACTCCTCTACAAGAAAACTAACACAAAACTTATTCTAGGAAGTGGCTGGTGCAGTTCCCGCCACGTCCCGTCTATGTAGCCGACTCACCATCCGGCTCCCGAGTATCTGCCTCTCCCCCGGTTTCCTCTCTCAGACATCAGCACCACCAGTTTCTCACTTACTCAAGCCTGGGAGTCATTCTGATTCCTCTTCCCCTCACTCCACTCCATTCATATCCAATTGTTTCCTCAATGCTTTTGATTTTATTCCTAAATAGCTCCCAAATCCGGCCCCTCCTCTCTAACACCCCTGCCTTCTCTGTCATCAGGACTATAACGGACCCTCTTTCCCCCAAAATTCATTATCCAGGAGCTGTAGCTAGAAGGTGGCAGAAAAAAGCAAACTTGCTGTGAAAATATTCATGCATTTGCACTTAAATAGCCTCCTCATTTAACACTAGTAACTGTCCCTACCAACCGCACTGGTCTCCCATGCAAATATACCACGCAAAGCGGCTGCCAAGGGACACTGAACATTTGGCTAAATTTGCAGGATTTCATGAAGTTGAGGAAAGTGACACTGGAGACCTGCTCCCGAGCCAGTGCTTGAGGAGAACCTGGCAGAGTTACAGTGGTGACAGCCGAGGGAGAAAGCCTGACTGGGCTCCAGGCACAGTGGGCACTTCAAAAGGGAACGGTGTGAGCATCAAAGACTGAAAAGGGACCTTGGGGAAAGCAGTGAAGCCTTGAACGTTTCCATGCTTCTTC